ATATATCTGACCTGTAAACTCTATTGATATATCTGCCTGTAACTCTAAGATATATCTGCCTGTAACTCTATGATTTATATATCTGCTTGTACCTCTATGATATATCTGCGCCTTTGTTACCTCTATTTGAGGTATATCTGGCCGTGTAACTCTATGATATATCTGCCTGTAACTCTATTGATATATCTGCCTGCTACCTCTATGATATATCTGCCTGTACCTCTATGATATATTCTTAGCCTTGTACCTTCTAAATGATATATCTGCCTGTAACTCTATAATATATCTGCCCTGCTAACTCTCATGATATATTCTGCCGCTGCTTACCTCCTATGATATATCTGCCTGTCCACCTCTATATATTATCTGCCTGTATACTCTACGATATTATCCGCTGTTGGTAACTTCCATGGGATACATAACGTGTAACGTTGTAACCTGTTAATCCCGCGGCTGCCCCGCTGCGGCGTCGTCGGGGACAGCAGCCCAGCGGCCCCGGCACCGTCCCTGGCGCCCCGTGGCCCGCCACCCCCGGCGCCTGTGTTGCAGGTAAGCGGATGCGAGCGCGTGCGGCGCGCGGTGTCCTGGTTGCCAGCGGCCTTCGCCTCGACTGATGCGGAGTGTAACACGGGTCGTCGACGACGACGACACCTCGCCGTCTCCCGATCCACACTCAGCTTCAAGCCGAAGCTCGCCACGATGCGGAGTCTCAGCGACCAGGCGATTGCTACGCACAGGCAGCTACGAGAAATGCTGGGTATCGGAGGCTGTGCCATGCGTTGCGCAAGGGTGCAAAGCGGCGATAGTCTCCAGTCAATATATTGCAACATTTTTTGGCCTTACCTGGAACAAATTTTGCAACGCAGGGTTTATGTTGCGAGGTTATTGATTTAGACCCCGCTCTAATCTTGCATATTGCAGAATCCCCGCAAAATCAGGGGGACCACGGCACCTTCTTGGTTTGCATATTCTGTTACCGGCCGGTATTCTATATATTGATCCTGAACTATAGCGTCTTGATACGAGAACGGTAGAGGTTTTTCGCACAGCAAAGTCCTGTGAATGATCACGTGCCGGCGCCTAGAAAACGCCTTGCTCTATTGTCTGGGTAACCCAAGCCTTCGCCTTTGTTGTAAACCGTCTTCCCATGTTGAGCATCTCTTATTCTTTTTGGCCTTCGTTTCAGTATCTTTTTGACCTTTCTCTACTTTATATACATACTTTCTTGTCTTTTAGCCTTTCACTGCATCTCGACCCTCATAGCCGCGACTCTCACCTTCCACTTCTTCCTTTGACCTTTGCATTCTTCTCTAAACCAACCGTGACCTTACCTTTCGCTTCTTTTTTTTGACCTTGGCCATTCTTTTCAAACAACCGCGGACCCACTTCCGCTCCTCTTCCTTTGACCTTTGCTTTCTTTTTAAACCAACCGCTGACCTTCACTTTCGCTTCTTCCTTTCGGACCTTGCATTCTTCTCAAACCCAACCGTGACCTCACTCTTCCGCTTCTTCCTTTCACTTTGCATTCTTACCAGACCAACCGCTGACCTCATCTTGCCGCTTCTTCTCTCTTGACCGTTGCAATTCTCTTACCAGACCAACCGTGACCTCTTCGATTCCGTCGCCAACCGTCCGCACGCGAACTAACCTCTCCACGTCTCAACCAGGGGAAAAATAACTTTTTTTTTTACAGGAGCTCTTTTTCGAGTCTGTGGGAAAATTAGCTTTCGTCAACAATTTTACGGGAGCTATTTTGAGCCTCACGGGAGCGATTTTGGAGGTTTTGAAGAGCGAATCGCCCTCATCACTCCCCGTGTATTTTTTACCCTGGTCTCAACAGAAGGAGGCTTCTCTACCCCGCCAGAGAACTCGGCGCGAGGCTGGCAGCCGACACCGCCGACTGGAGGAGCCCGGCGGGGGGAAGTTGGAGCCGATCATCGTGCCGTACCTGAGTCCGCTCGTGCTGCGCAAGGAGCTAGAGAACGTGCTCAACCAGGAGGGAGACCAGTGCATGACGCGCGCTGACGTTGCTCGCATGATCACCCGATCATCTACTGCGAACTCGTGAGTGGTCAGGCCGTCGGGGCGAGTGTGTGGAGGGGGAGCTGAGGCAGGGGCAGGGAGGAGGAGGGTCAGGAGGAGGTCGGAGGGAGGAGGAGGAGGAGGAGGCGAAGAACGTGCTCAATCAGAAGTGGGAGCACCAGTGCATGACGCAAGCGCTGTGACTTTGTCGAATGCGATCACCCCATCAGCTTACGGAAACCTCGCGAGGTGCGGGGGCGGGGGCGAGGTGTGAGGGGAGGGGAGGAGGAGGAGGCGAGGAGGAGGGGAGGGGAGGATGAGGAGGGAGAGGGGAGGAACGTGCTCAACTCGCAGGAGCGGAGACCGATGTGCATGACGCAGCGCTGACTTTGTCGATGATTCACCCATCATGCTACTGCGAACCTCCGTGAGTTGCGGCGGGGGGGCCGAGGTGTGAGGGGGGAGGTGGGCAGGCAGGGAGGAGGGGAGGAGAGGGGCTAAGAGGTGCATTTGTGTACTCGCCTCTACTACCCTGCTGACTACCCTAATGACAGATACTGACCCTGGTACTATCTATAGGACGATACTATCACTTTATACCTCATATTACCACTGCTGATCATCCTCTACTACTCTATATTACCACTGCTTGTATCACCTCTACCACCCTATCATTACCACTGGTGTATCACTTCTACACCCTTATATTACCACTGTGTATCACCCTCTTAACTACTCTATATTACCAGCTGCCTGTTATCACCCGTCTACCACCTATATTACCACTGGTCGTATCACCGCTCTCTACTCTATCATTACCACTGAGTGGTAATCACCCTCTACTACCCTATATTACCACTGCTGTATTCACCCTCTACTACTCATATTACCACTGCTGTATCCACCCTCTACCACCCCTTATATTACGCACTGCTGTATCACCCTCTACTACTCTATATTACACTGACTGTTATCACCGCCTACTACCCTATCATTGACCACTGGTGTATCACCTCTACTACCCTATATTACCACTGGTTTATCAACCCTCTACCACCCTTATATTATCCACTCTGTATCACCCATCTACTACTCTATATTACCACTGCTAGTATCACCCGCTACCATCCCTATATTACCACTCGGTGTATCACCCTCTACCACCCTATATATATCACTGTGGTATCATCCTTCTCATTACCCTATATTACCACCGGCTGTATGCACCCTCTCACTACCTATATTACACTGGGCTGTATCACCTCTACCACCCTATATTACCACTGGTGTATCACCCTCTACCACCCGTACTATTACACTGCGTGTATCACCCTCTTACTCCCTATATTACCACTGCGTGTACTCACCTCTGAACTACCTATCATTACCACTGCTGTATCACCCTCTACTTACCCTATATTACCACTGGTGTATCACCCTCTGACTACCCTATATCTACCACTGGTGTATCACCCGTCTACTACCCTATATTACCGACTGGTGGGTATCACGGTCGTCTACTTTACCGTATATTACAGCTTGGCTGGATATCACCCTCTACTACCCTATATTACGCACTTGGTGTATCACCCTCTACTACCCTATGATTACCAATGGCTCGCTCTCACCCTCTACTACCCTATATTACCACTGGTGTAATCACCTCTTACTACCCTATATTACCACTTGCGTGGTATCACCCGTCTAACCCTCTACCACCCTATATTACCACTGGTGTATAACCCTCTACTACCCTATATTACCACTGGTGTATCACCCTCTACCACCCTGTGTTACACCCATTATACATTACCCTCTCTACCACCCTGCACTGCTCCCACGGCGGCGTACAGTACTACGCTCAAGCTTTCTGTCTGCACGTCAGGTTTGGTACATGAAGAGACTGGATGCGCCGAGTCATCTACCCGGTCTCATGCTACGAGCAAAGCTCATCAACAAAGGCAGGGACATTCCGAAGGCGTGGGCGACAGCTAACTCGAAGCACGTCGTCGTGCGCACGATGTGGGACAGCCCCTCGCTACAGGAGGACCTCGGCAAGCCCATGTACCTCATGTGGTCGCACAACCGTAAGCGTGCGTTACTGAGCTCGAGTGCAAATATCGACCGACTCGAATGCAGACGAGTCCGTATTTAAGGGGGAGCACAAAGAGTGGTGAACTGTAGACATGTGTCTATTTTGTAGAGGTAGTTTTATGGTGTAACTGTGACTCGGGGGGGGGGATGCTATTGGTGTTCTTTATAGACAGCTGTTCGTTCTATTGAAGAAGTTTTACTGCGTAGTCACATCGCGATCTAAACGTAGCCTATGTCAGTCACGCGTGGCAGTAGAGAAAGCTGGACCTCACTGCTTGCCTTGGAACAGTTACTGGGCACTTTGGCAGACTCGGTTGATATGGCTTCAGTTTCAACTGGGTGGGTCTCCAGTTGCTGTCCAAACCATGTGCTATAGTCCAGCTTCTTTTATAGCTGCGGTTACAGCTACTGACCAAGCCTGGTGACTGAGAGAAGAGCGGAGTATGTGTAGAGAGAGCGGTGTATTGCCACCTCATTGCATTAGCATGGTTTCACGATCGATTTCACCTCTTCTGGCTTCTCTTGCAACATAGCGTCTCAATGACAGTGTTGCTCAGGTGTTTTTGTCCCTGGGGACTCCCTCATTTTGCTGCGGACTCCCTCATTTTGAAAGCAGGGAGTCCGTTGTACTCCCTTGTTCACAAGTTAATTTCTACCCCTGACTTTTCTCATTGCAGTGGATGTGTCACCATTAGTGAAGGCGCTTGTAACAGAACAGGGGATACTCTCTCGCAGGTAAACAAATGTCTAGTGCCACGGTCGCAACGGGTAGAATTGACGGACGCGTAGATGTTCACACAGTAATTTCTCGATGTGAGATAAAAACTTGATCGAGGTGTGAGTTTGTTCGCTAATTGTTGATTGGAAGACACAAGTTACAAAGATTGCATTTGGTTTGAATTTCAGCGGTACTGTGATTATAGTCTTGTAGTCCAGCAAAGTCCCGGGAAGGTCCCAGAACATTGTTGTCTTGTGTGTAACCACTGCTGCTCTGCTCTGTTCCTCTCCTCTCTTCTCTCTCTCTCCCTTTCTCTCTCTCTCTCTCTCTCTCTCTCTCGCTCTCTCTACTTCTCTTAACGCACTCTTTCTCTCATCTCTCCTCTATCTCTGCTCACTCTCCCCTCCCTCTCTCGCACCTCCTCTCCTTCCTCTCTTCCTCTCTTCCCCCTGCCGCATGCCGCGCGGCCGCCCTTCTAACTCGTCTGTCCTCCGCCCTCTTCACTTCTCTCTCACTCGTCTCTCTCGCTCTCTTTCTCTCTCTCTCTCTTCTCTCTCTCCTCTCCTGCTCTCTCTCTCTCTGTGTCTTTCTTTCTTCACTCCTCTACTCTCTCTATCTCTCTTCTCTGTCACTCTCTAATCTCTCTCAACTCTCCTATCTCTCTTTTCTCTCTGCTCTCTATCTGCTCTCTCACCTCTCTTCTCCTCTCTCTCCTTGCTCTCTCTCTCTCTCTCTCTCTCAGTCTCTCTCTAAGTTTCCTCTTCCTTTCTCTCTTCTCCTGCTCCTCTCTAACGCCACTCTCGTCTCTCACTCTCTCCCTGCTCATACTCTCTCTCTTCTACTGTCTCTCTCTTCTTCTCTGCTCTCATCTCTCTCCTCTCTCTCTCTCTTCTCTCTCTCTTCCTCTCTCTCTCCTCTCTCTTCTACTCTCTCTCTCTCTCATCTCTCTCTCTCTCTATCTCTCTATCTCTCTATATCTCTCACTCTCCCCTCCTCTCGACCTCCTCTCCTCTCTCTACCCCCTCTGACGTCCTCTCTCTCTCTCTCTCTCTTCTTCTCTCTCTCTCGCCTGCCCTCTCTCTCTCTCTCTTCTCTCTCTCTCTCTCTCTCTCTCTCTCTCTCATCTTCTCCTCTCCTCTCTCCTCTCTCCTACTCTCCTCTCTCTGAATCGTCTCTCTCTCTCTCTCTCTCTTCTCTCTCTCTGCTCTCTCTCTCTCTTTCACTCTCTGTCTCTCCCTCTCTCTCTCTCATTTCTTCTCTCTCCCTCTCTGCATTCGTCTCTCTCTCTCGTCTCTCTCACTCTCCCTCTCTCTAACTCTCTCTCTCGTCATCGCAGCCTCATGCAGATGATCGTCAACTACATCCAGCAGGACAACCTGCAGGCGCCGATCAAGATCCTGCTCTCGCAGCACATGAAGCGGCCGAGCGCGCGCCACCGCAGCATCTACCGCGACATCCTCTACCTGGCCTTCACCGCATGCGGACGCGACCGCATCGACCACGGTAGGTGGCGCCGGCGTAGGCGCGCATGACGCGAACGTACAGCAGCTGTGTCGACCACGGTAGGTGGGGCCGGCGTAGGTGGCGCCGGCGTAGGTGGCGCCAGTGTAGGCGCGCGTGACGCGAGCGCATCACACGCGAACTTACAGCAGCAGCTGTGTCAACCACACTGTGCTATGTGTGGGATGGGTTTTGCTATGTGGGGAAAGTGTTTTGCTATGTGGGGGAGTGTTATGCTTTGTGGGGGAAGTGTTTTGCTATGTGGGGGAGAGTTTTGCTATGTGGGGGAGAGTTTTGCTATGTGGGGGAAGTGTTATGCTATGTGGGGGAAGTGTTATGCTATGTGGGGGAGAGTTTTGCTTTGTGGGGGAGAGTTTTGCTATGTGGGGGAAGTGTTTTGCTATGTGGGGGAGTGTTTTGCTATGTGAGGGAGTGTTTTGCTATGTGTGTGGGAATGTTGCGCTATGTGGGGGAGTGTTATGCTTTGTGGGTGAAGTGTTATGCTATGTGGGGGAGTGTTGCGCTATGTGGGGGAGTGTTTCGCTAGGTGTGTGTTGGGGGTTGCTATGTGGGGGTGTGTTTTGCTATGTGGGGGTGTGTTTTGCTATGTAGGGGAAGTGTTATGCTATGTGGGAGAGTGTTGCGCTATGTGGGGGAGTGTTTTGCTATGTGTGTGTGGGTGGTTGCTATGTGGGGGTGTGTTTTGCTATGTAGGGGAAGTGTTATGCTATGTGGGGTGTGTTTTGCTATGTGGGGGAAGTGTTTTGCTATGTAGGGGAAGTGTTATGCTATGTGGGGTGTGTTTTGCTATGGGGGGAGTGTT